CTCCTGATGTCTTGCCACAAAAACTTCTAGTGGGACAATCCTTGGATGTTAACCACCCATTAACTTCAGTTAGGAATATTTCTGAAGCATTTGCAAATAATGATCGTATTGCTTATTATCGAAGAAAAATTATAGACGAAGAAAATATTATCACTAAAACTTCTCGAAAGAGTGGAGATAATTTTCTTACTGATATCTATCAATTCCAACAAGAGCATCCCGAATTCATTCGCAACATAGATTTAATGAAAAAAGGAATCATTACACTTCAATCTGAATGGATGAAAAACCAAAATCTTAGTACCTCAGCTATATTGAATGATAGCACCTACAAATACTTCACTAATGCATTTCTGGTAACAAGGTATGAGATAATTTTTAATGTCATTATATTTTAATTATCTTCTATTAATTTAAATAATATTTAATAATAGTTCGATATATTGTGAGGTACTTCAAAGATGGATCCCTGTTTTAATATCAATAATTTATAAAGAAGATTCTGTTCACTATCAAGCACATTTTTTAAGTATTTGATAGAATGGATTGATGAGTGTAATAATCCCACTAATAAATATGCTCTAGTTATGGACTTTAGCTCCGCTGAAAGGAATGGATTTCTGCAAGCTTACATTGAACATGGATTAGAAAAATATCAAAATAAAAATTCTTCATTGCCGATGCCTTTGATAGAGTCACATAAAGAATATTTGAGAAATGAAGCTAAAACACTATTGAAAGGCTGCGAAGAACACTTTAGACAATCAATTACAAGAATCAGTAAGAATCATGCAGTTGTAAAGCATGAAACATCAAAAAAATTTGAATCAATGGCATTGGAACTTCTAGAGATAGATGAAAAAGAAGAATTTTATAAAAATGTTAAAATTATTCAAGAAACTTGGCCCAATACAACATCATGGCTGGAATGGTGGGTTTATACAGATGCAGGAAAAATGCTTTTTCCTGTGTTAAGTACTATGGACAAAGAACTCTTAAAATCCATTCCTAAAACAATTAATGCTCAAGAGTCTATGCATAATCGGTATTACATGACTGGGTCAATCCAACAATCAATAATAACGGGTTTGGAAAACTTGCTTCTATTTGTAATTACTTTAGAATCAGATTATGGAGATCGAATTAAAGGTCATCAATTGCGATATGGTGAATTGGAACGTTGGAAGAAAGTCGCAGAAAAGTATGGCACAACCAAACCATATCGTGGCAAAAATTTAAAAAAAGGTGCTGGAATTAAAGATAGAAGACCTCCAGACACCACAAAAGATCTTTTGAATAATAACATAGAAAATAGTCAAAGAAAAGCAATAGTTCCGATTTCCAATAAAAAGGAGATCAAGCAATACCAATCTTATCCCCACTTCCACAACTCATGTTATATAACATCATTCTTGGAAATACTTTATAACTATTATTTAACAGACCAAGAGTGGTGGTCTAATAATGTGGGGACAATGATTAATGATAATTCAGGACTTAAAAAAATATATGCTAGTTTTATAATGAGAGGACAATTAACCAACAAAAGCAAGAAATCCAGCTATAGTGATGCAAGAGAGGTAGTTCGTCAATATATCTTAGAAAAAAAATGGCAACAAGATGGAGAGTATGGTTCATTGACCTTATGGTATGAAAAGATAATTAAGGAGAATGATTCATTAAATATTTTATCATATTTTTGTCCTCTGGGTATAAGAATTTGGAAGTGTGAGTCAGGTCATATCCGAATTGCTCCAACTCCTATGACACCATTAATTCTAATTAATGGATTAGAAGATTTCAATACACCATTCTTTGATGAAAATAAACATTTGATTGGACAAATTTCAGCACTTTTTGCTCAAAAAGATGGGTTTATTTTAAGTGAACATCCAAATGAGCCTTGTCAGCATTCACGTGTAAATATACATGAATGTGAGAAAAGAAAAATAAATCATGAGGAATTCATAGTATCTTGGCCTAAAATATTAATTTTCGAAATTACCCAAAGAGATAATGGTAGTTCTAATTCATCAGAGAGTTTGAATTTTCCTCTTCATCTAAACTCTGGATGCTTGAATTATAGTTTATTAGGACGTGTATATAGTACTTCTACAAGTGGAAGTCATTTTTATAGTAGATTAATAAAAAACTTTAATGAAAATATTGGTATTTACAAATATGATGATCTTAATGGTGGGATTGCGATTTTAGAATCAAATAATCCAATTTCACTAGCAGGGGAACAACAATTAGCAACTTTGGTTGCATATAATCTAGAGGAAGACAATTTGGATTATTTTAATAGTAAAACAAGTGAGTATTAAAAATATATATAATGTCTAAAATGGTAAAATATTCTAATATTTTCATTTATTTGTAGATATTTTAATAGATAAATTAAGAAATTATAACATTGAAATTCCTAATAATATTACTTCAGGAATGAAATGTAAGGTTTCATAGAGATTTTGGTTCAATGATTTGTTTCATTATTATTTTATTATTAACTTTTCATTATCTTTAGTGATGGAATTTTTTATGGATAAATCAAATCAATATCACACGATTTCAAGGTAAAAAAATTTACATGTATTGTTATATACTACAAATAATAATAATTAATCATTATTTATTAATTAACATCAGTTCTAACAATAGAGTTGAAGGCCCAAATACTAGTGATAAAAGGTAAAAATTGTCATTGAATTTTCTTTTTTACTTCATAATAAATTTTAACCTTAGGTTTATTTTAGAACTAATAAAAAAGAATGTGATAAAGATCTCCGAAGTAGCAAAAGAACTAAAACCAAAAAAACTTTTCCTGATTATGTTATTTATTAAAATATTATAATTCAACTTAGATTTTTAAATTATTTTATAAAAATAATAAAAAATGAATTTTTACACCCAAGTATTAATTATGTAAAAACGCACATAATAAAATTTAACTTTTGGTTTTGGCAAATATTAATATATTTCATATACTACATGGAAAAAGGGGTCCGCCCCATTTTACCAACAAGCATTGTGTTAATATTAACAATTTGCCAAGGACTGTGTGAAGACCTGGATAACTCTATGTAGAAGCTAAAAGTTATGCATAAAAGGCTGATTTTTTTTACAGACAAGTTAAATCAACTGTTGATTGAATATTGACCTTGCCTTACAAATCATTAACTAATAACACAACTTATTATCCCCCTCACTTTGCATCAAAAACCAGTTCATAAAAATACAATATAGATACATGTGTAGCATTTTTTTTTTTTGTCTGATGAATTGATAAAAATTGCATATTCGGACTTAATTGTTTTTATTAAATGTAATTAATTTATTGAACATGTTATTTTTAATTGTTTTATATAATTTATTTATTTATTAACATACAATTAATTTATCAACCATGTTATTTTTAATTGTTTTTATTAAATTTATTCATTAACATGTAATTAATTTATCAACCATGTGATATTTTTTATGGTATACATGTGGTCAAAATTAAAAGTCCTGTGATGCAATTGGTTCTCTGTGAGACGCAATTCGTGACGCGAGACGCAATTCGTGAATGATGGAATATGCACTGTCTTACAATAGCATTGTAATAATTTAATTTTCGCTGTTATCAAATTATGACAGTTTTTACAAATTTTATGTTCAATTTTCCAAATACAATCCTAGAAGTCAAATTACTTCTAACAATCAATAATTACATCCGTATATTTATATAAAATTACAATAAAGAATTAATTAATAAAATAAATGTATCTTATGTTTCCCGGGATGCTTAAAGTAACATATTAATATTAATAAAAGTCACAAATTATGTAACATTTTCCCAAATTACCAAAAAATAAAAAAACCCGATCACGGATTGCATCTTGCATCAGTCATAAAAATTATGATGAGTGACGCAAGATGCAATTTTACAGATTTTTAATTGTGTCTGACGCAATTCAATAATTTTAGTGACATGTATAGTTATGAATGCAAAAAAATTTTATTTATTTATTAAAGTATACTTTTTGTAATTAAAGCACAAAAATGTGTTTAAAGTGCAAAATTCATCTGATGGCTTGATTGTAAGGTTTCTACATAAAAACGTTAAAAAGCCCAAATTGCCAAAATAGTTCAAGCTTTGAGAAACAGTTTGGGCTAGAAACCTTACTTGATTGTTGGTAAAGTGTCCCAGATCCAAGCCAACATTAAATGTTAATCCCAATAACAATGATAATAAAATTAAGAGCAATAATTGACTCAATAATCTCACAGAAAAGCTTCACATTTGTTTGTGTAGTGTATATCTAAATTACAAAGTTTTATGTCCACCTGTCCTTTTTAAGAAATTATATAAAAGGGACATGGACAGGTAATTGTGGCTGATGCTCTGTCCCCTGTCCTTTTCAATAATTTACTAATAAAATCTGAAAAAGGACAGAGAACAGGCAACCTTGCCCTTTGCTTGTGCCACAACTGTCCCTCGAATTTACCTGTCCTTTTTAATGTTTTCATGTAAATCAACTGTCCCGCAACCTGTCCTTTTATAGATTCCAGGAGTAATTATTGAAAAGGACAGGGGACAGGGCATTCCCTGTCCCTGTCCTTTTCTAGCAGCCCTAAAATTAGGAAGAATGGAGGGGAACAAATTTTAGAAGAAACATCACCTAAACCACCCACCAAAATTGATGAATATCTAGATGAATTTAGAGTACCAAGAGATGATGAAAAAGTATTACCCAAAATAGATGGAGATGAAGACAAACAATTGACAACTATTTTGAGTAAGTTAAAGGTTACAAGACATAATAATACTTTTGAGTATTATTATCTTCTTGGAAACTTATTGAGGAATACTCTGCAACCATAAGAAGGAAAATTCATCAAAAATACCAGCGTAATTACAACAAGAGTGGAAAACTCATCAATTTGGTGAAGAAGACTGTAATGTTATTCGATACAGTAGGATTATCCTACTCAAACGTCCTTGGAACCTTCGGGAAATGACAGAGGGAAATTTTGAGAAATTAATGATAGGGATAAGAGTAATTGTAGCTGAACGATTAGAAACTTCATTGCTCTTGGATGATCTATTAAGAGATTTTACTTTTCCTGTTTCACAGGAGCTCAATGCTTGTGCGGAGGTGATGTCACCGAAATGCGAATTTGACCTTAATAGTCACAGGACATGTCACATCAATTGATTTTCTATATGTGAAAATAAATTCGAAATTCGTGTCACATGAAGTTTTT